AGTCCAATCCTGGTTTATGCATATGTTCCAAATGAGCTCCAGAACATAGTTACATGAGTAACGAGCAAGAAGATGTACGTTTTCAATTTGTTTTAATGAATAAAAAGTAGAAAAAATACAGCTCAAAAGTTTTTTGTATGGTTTTTACTGTTTTCTGTTCTTAAAAACTAGCTCAGAAATAAGAAATAAGATGGAGACTAACAATCAACTATCACCAAGTCTGAACCTGTTGAACCCAAGTTTTCCAGATTAGCCTTACGAACATCTTGTCCATTGCTTTTTAATTTATGGCAAATCAAAGCCAAGTTTCCAGATTAGCTAAATCCAGCCGTAATAATTGCTGCCTGCTTTCATTGAATTCACTTGCTTTCCAGATTAGCCAAATCCAGGTTTTTGAAACAATATCTGGCCTGAATTAATGCGAATTTTTGCATACGAACGAAAGAAAATCCGGATGCTTCTATAGAGTTGAGAGTCTGTGTCATTAATTAGGTCTTAGTATATAAAGTAATCATCACCGTTCAAGTTCTTGAGCATTTTTTAAGACATGGACAAGAATAGAGTTATTCTGTTGCATTATACTTTCTCCATTTGTATTCTGAGCTTGAACTTATTATGCAAGGCCACTAATGAGGATAGGAAGGTAAGAGTCAGTTGTTTAGGAAAACAAGTGTCTTCCTTTTTTTTTTTTTTTCGTGTTAAAATAGTTCAATTCTATATAGATGATAAAAAGATGAAATCGTATGAGGAAATCTATGAGCAATTATAATCTCTTCTTCTGGATTTAGCCTAATCCAGAATTTTGCACCAACTTTAAGTTACCTGGCGCGGTGCGCTTGAGTTGATTCTAATCGCAAGCTGACTACACCAATGGAATGAGTTCGAAGGAAAATATTTTGAAGTCTTTATTGAAAGAATGAAGATTAAATCCAACTGTTTATGTGCATTTAAAATCATACAATGTCTTTTCATTTTTATATTCACTTTCTACACAATAAAGAATTTAGATTGAATTTAAAAGACTTACTTGCACATAAATCCTTGTTTTTTAAGAGGGGAGTTACTGCGGTTTCTTGTTCCAGGTTAGCCAAGGACCAAAACTTCCCCTAATCAAACCGCAAGAGCTTCAGAACCCAGAAAAAGGGTTTTCTGAATTTTCCAGAGAAGCCTTAGTTGTGTATTAGCTGTATATCTAAGATAAGGTAAATTAAAGTACCATTTCTTTCATGGAATAATAATTTTTCTTGTCCTGGTGTACATGAACATCACCTTTTGGTGTGCACATACAGAATTTGTAACGTTTTCTAAATGTTTGAAAAAATTTATCGTATTACATAGAAAGAAATACTACAAAACGACACGCAAGAATGCGTTGGACACAATGATGGCTTCTTGACAAATCGATTCAACCCAAATGAGTTGTTCTTATACTGCTGTTATTGTAGTGGCAACAATTTAATGCTCTTGCTAACTTGTTTTCAGTTATAGACAGAATAGCATTCTATGAATTTAGATTTGTTGATGAGGAATGATTGGTGTGAGTTATATGTAATTCCAAAAATGCATCAAAACGAAAGGAAACAAATCTGGATGCTTAGTGGAGATGATTAAATATGCCATCCTTAATCCCCGTATAAAGTAATCTTCACCTGGTTCTAAAGTTTTTGAGAATTTAACAATGGCTAAGCATGGAGCACTTCTGTTTTATCTTACCTTTCCCATTCTCATCCTAACGATGAGTTTATTGTGCATAGCCACTTCTGAGGATAGAGAGGTAGGAGTCATCTTTGTTTTAATAGTAGTCTGCTCGATCTTTCGCTATGGTCAATATTGATTAATAAGATCGCAAGGCTACTCATTTTGAGATTGACAAGAGATAAAAAAGTTTGAAATGCTATTTTATGAGGAACTAGTAAGCTTTATTTTTACTTGACCGTGAATGTATGATGCAGGTTTCTATTGTGTACTTGGGATCACTTCCTGATGGGGTGTTCTCTCCATTATCTCAGCACCATAGTATTCTGCAGACAGTTGTCGAGGGAAGGTAATCAATCCAGATCTTCAATGTTACCTTTTTTTTTTCGTTGAATTTATAAGCTAGTTCTTATGTCTTGTTTTTATTCTCTCTCTCTCTCTCTCTCTCTCTCTCTCTCTCTCTCTCCATCTATCAGTTCCCTTGAAAATATATTTGCGAGAAGTTACAGTAGGAGTTTCAATGGATTTGCTGCGAAGCTCACAAACTAGGAAAGAGAAAAGCTTGCGAGTAAGGCCTCTATGACGATTTTGTTTTGATTACAAAGGAGATATTATTTGGCTTGAGAATTTATCATGATGTTTAAAAACTATGCACTGCAGATATGAAAGAAATAGTCTCCGTCTTTCCAAGCAGAACTTACGAACTTCAAACAACAAGATCTTGGGACTTTATGGGCTTCCATGAGAAAATCAATGGGAGTTTTAACGAAAAGTCCATGGTACTGTTCACTTTAATGAAAAACCATATTTTTACACTAAAAAGTCAAACTTGGTATTATTCACTTTACCCTTTATTTTGTCCTTACCATTAAAACTCAAAGTTTTTAAATCCTTTTCATTAGTTTTCCTAAAATCAATAGAAGTGCTGCTGTTGAGAATGATATTGTTGTTGGTGTCATTGACAGTGGGATTGCGCAGGAATCTGACAGTTTTGGAGACGAAGGTTTTGGACCTCCTCCCAAGAGGTGGAAAGGTGCTTGTAGGGGCGGACACAATTTTACGTGCAACAAGTAGGTGCCCTCAATTCATTATCTTCAATATTCACTCTATGAATTGTTGCAAAAACAATACTGCGTAAAATCATTTGACAAAACTGAAGAAATAAGGGAAGATAGAAACGGAGTGAAAACACAAATTTAAATTGTTCAAATACCTTGTGTTATGTCAATGGGAAATAGAGCTTTACAATCAACTATCCACCAACGATTACATGTACTGTGCACAACTCACATTTCACTCAAGCTCTCAACTTTCCATTTGCCCCTCTTTCATTGTCACCCTCTCAAAGTATTGGCCCAATTTTGCATTGACACTCGAATCTCGATCCTCCTTGGTGTAACCATCAATCCTCCTCGACTCTAATTGCAGGTGTATCTTTTACCAGACTAGCTATGATCCTGGGCCTTTCGACATGGACACAATATTGTTGCTTCAAGCATACCTAATTCTTTAATAAAAAGATTTACACAAACTGTGCTATTGAATTGAAAGCATGTCAAACTACAAATCCAACCATCCAATTTTTATAAACTGACAACAATATGCATAGACCAAATTCCTAATTTCATATTATTTTTGTTTTCGTAGTAGGAAACTTAATCATAGACCTGCTTTATGATAATACATGTACCTTTATATATTCAGTTTCGTAATTCTTTTATAACGGTTTTTCTTGTAAGACTTGTTAAGTTCTTCTCCCTCAATAAAAAAAAAAGTAATGCTATCTTTGTAGCAAACTCATTGGAGCTCGATTTTACACAGAAGACTCTGCAAGGGATGGCATCAGGCCATGGAACCCACACTGCCTCAACGGCAGCTGGAAATGCTGTAAAGGATGTAAGCTTTTATGGGCTAGCACAAGGAACTGCAAGAGGAGGGGTTCCTGCTGCAAGAATTGCAGCATTTAAAGTCTGCACTGCTCGAGGGTGTAAGGCACACGATATTTTGGCTGCTTTTGACGATGCTATTGCTGATGGAGTCAACACCATTACAATTTCTATTTCGGTTGGTTCTGTACAAGAGTTTTATGGGGATCCTGTTGCCATTGGTGCTTTCCATGCAATGGAGAAAGGGATACTAACCTCAAACTCTGCAGGCAACACTGGTCCTTCAGCTAATACTGTATCAAGTCTGGCTCCGTGGATACTGACAGTCGCAGCAAGTAGAATAGATCGATGGATCATCGACAAGGTTGTTTTTGGAAATGGAACAACAGTACTCGTGTCATCAATTTCCCTCATCCGATACAATATAATGTCGGGAACCTCCATGTCTTGCCCACACACTGCTGGTGTAGCTGCTTATGTTAAAAGCTTCCACCCTGATTGGTCTCCGGCAGCCATCAAATCATCTCTTATGACTACCGTTATTTACTATTTCTTGATTAATCACTAATCACATTGTTTGTGTACGTTTTAAATCATCCCATTCCTAGCTGAGTTGGTTTTCAGCAATAAGAGTTGCAACTCTTCAATATATCAGAAAGCTTAATTCATACTGATGTCAAATCTTTTCTGTGGTTGTAGCTTTGCCCGTGAACGATACCAACACCAATGTTCCGAGTGGTGAATTTGGTTATGCATCTGGACATATCAATCCTGTAAGCAAAATAGACCCGGGGCTAGTGTATGACGCTTTTAAAGAAGATTACATAAACTTGCTATGCTCAATCTATGATGAAGGCAAAGTTAGACTCGTATCAGGTGACAACAGCACATGCCCTACAGGCGATAAGGGATCGCCAAAGGATCATAATTACCCTTCAATTGCGGACCCCTTTTGAATAACACACGAGGCCCTTAAAAATAATGTACTTAATGATTTAGGATGTGACATAATTTTATGATATAGAACTATAGAAGACAACTGATAATCTGTTACTTTAAGATCTTTGTTTAAAGTACTCTTCTTCTCAATGTAATAAATTCGAAAACAATTGCTATTCTCATGGCAATTTCAGAGCATTTGGAGCGCTTAACATCCAGTCCTGAAAGATGTAACTCTTATGTTTTGATAATTATTCTCACTACTACAGAAAAGTGTGTTCCCGACGAAATCCTATTCGTCGCACAAAGAGAAAATGTGTCACGTAAAAGTTTGGACGACGAAAACTTCGAGAAGCAAACATTTGCTCGATAAATCCAATACTTTAGGGAAAGGATGTCACAACGAAGAATCAAGTAGATAGAGCATGGCAAGTGGATAAATGAGCATTTCAGATTTTATTAGAAAACAATCAGCAAAAGTCCACCGAACATCAAGGAGGATGTTTATTGGAAGAAGCACATGGGTGTACAGACAGCACAGCACAGCAAGCATACAGTAAGGGTGTGCACTCAAAGCACATGGGTGTACAGACAGCACAGCACAGCAAGACAGCAAGGGTGTAAAGCTTTCAGCTTGCTTTGTTGCTGACTCGTGGACATGGGTGTACAGACAGCACAGCACATGCAATTCCTTTCCCTGCTGTCCATGAGTCAGCAACAAAGAAAGCTGAAAGCTTTACACCCTTGCTGTCCTTTACACCCTTGCTGTCTTGCTGTGCTGTGCTGTCTGCTTTGAGTGCACACCCTTGCTGTATGCTTGCTGTGCTGTGCTGTCTGTACACCCATGTGCTTCTTCCAATAAATCCCTAACTGTAACATTCATATAATTATTCGTAACTGGTACACCAGCCCAACCATATCAATGATCCTTAATTATTATTATAGAAAAACCAAACTGTTTATTCAAGTGCCCCAAGATAAAAATGTAAATTCCTAGCAGTCGTAAGCTCTTCACCCACTCAAAGAATGAAATAAAGAACCACCAATAAATCCACAGCCAAAACAAGATTCATATAATACTCTGATAATAGCATTGTCCAATCAAATATTCAGCATCAGCATCTGGCAATGCCATGGGAAGAATATAGAACCACTCAGTAGTTTTAGAACTCTAATTAACTGCACAAACCTAGGCTGCAACACATACAATTTCAGCAATGTTCTTTTCAGTGCATAAGGGGTAGGACAAATATCGCACACAAAATATTCCAATGTATCGGCCTCGATTATGGAATAACATTAATGCTTATAACCCAAACCAAACCCTTAAATTTCTAAAGAGAACCGAATTGAGGTTAGGATTTCAATATTCTTCCCTATATATGCAACCGATCATGTCTACCCGGTTCCGATTCAACTCCTAAACAATACAACAAGCATCATCTCAAATATGCATCCAAAATATCGAATTAAAATTCAAAACCTTGAATTGACCCCAAAACTAAAAGTTAAAACCTTGGGAAAATACTTACGCTAGAGGAGACCCCACGAGGGAGGATCATTATTTTCACTTGGGTCGAGGCCAGATTCCAGCGGGATTGCCCGAAATCAGAGAAAAGTCGCTGGAACACGTGAATATGTTTGGACCTCGTTTTCTTTATACAAGGGTTTTCAAAAGGACCGTAGATTGTCTGCCTCTCATTACCACGCCCTTTCCATTCTCTCTTACATTGTGCGATCACGGTTAAGTCACGTTAATATTTTATATTAATATTTTTATTAAAATAATAAGACAAAAAGTAATAGGAATATAAAATGTTGATGTTATTTAACCGTGACAGTACAAATAGAAGGAGACGGAAAGAGCATTATAAAATGAGAGCAGACAATCTGCCTCCTTTTCAAAGGGTGGGTATGGTAAGATTGAAGATAACTTCGCTACGAAACTATAGCTTCCGACCTCATGTGATTTCGTTATCGTATGAGGAAATTATGATGAAAATAGTTTGAAAGGGATCCCGTGAGTGCTGGAGCAAGAAGAAGAAAATGTTCTTTTCCCCCCTTCTCCCTTTTTACCCTTCTTTCCTTCTTCCCGATCCTTCCCCACCTCTCTCTTTTCTTCTTTCTTTATTATTTTATTCTATCATTAATATTTTATATCTAGTGCTATTATCTTTCCCACTACTTTAAATGAAATGATTTATACGTGTTTCGTGAAATATTTCTAGTTCTAATTTTCGTTATATTTATAATCAATCGTTCATAATAGTAAGTGCTGCAAAATATACTAATTAATATGTCACACGTGTCCTGATCAGTAAGTCAATGAAAATTGACACATACCCTCTAAGGGCATTTTGATCGTTTCACATTTTAAAAAAATAAATAAAAGGGTTAATCTCAGTTTACTATTTTGAAGTTTTGTGGTTTTCAACATTTGGTACATGAAGTTTTTTTCATCCCAAAGTTATAACTCAAGTCTTAATTTTAGGACAGTTTTATACATACGTTAATTTTTCCGTTAGAACTTCTGTTAATTGATGACATGACGCCCATATAAACAATAACTGAGCGTCACATGTCAATATGGCCCACTTCAAATATTAAAAAAATTAAAAAAAAAAAAAGCAGCCCCACCCGTCTTCTACCTCCCTCAAACCCCTGCAACCCACACCCAACCCCCTTTGCAACCTGCACCCAACCTCATCCTTTCCGTCTTCTACGCCATCGTTTCAGTTGCTGGCGACCCCCGCAACAAGAAGCAGAAGACCAAAACCCTCGTCATGAAGCCCTCTCTCTCTCTCTAGGCAACCTGCAATATGAAGTGCAGGAACCAATTCAGATCCAAGCTAATTTACCACGACAATTCAGATCCAACCCTGTGCGATGGCAGCCGTCTCATCATGACTTTGACAAAGCATTTACCGCAACAATCATCATTGTCGTATAAAATCACACCTCCACACCAGCCAATTTACGCACCAAAAAAAAAAAAAAAAAAAAAAAAAAACCCATAAAAGAAAAAAGGAAAAACAGATTTTTTTTTTGGTGGGGTTTTAAGCTTGATCTAAAGGGTCGAAGGAAGTTTAATTTTTATGGTTTTGACTGGTTTTTTCTAGGTTTTTGTAGACGAGATGGCATATTATATTAAAAATAAAAAAAACAAAAAAACAAACCCAGAACCCCTTTCCTCCATCCCCACCCGACACACCTCCATCCCCTCTACCCCCTCCACCCGTGCACCCCTCCACCCCTTTTGTCTTCTCCACCCGAGCACCCCCTTCTTCCATCCCCCTTCATCCACCCTTTGCCTACCCGAGCCACCCTTTCTCCGTCCACTCCTCCCTCTGGTACTTGCTGCATCTGAAACCCGAAAGAATCCTAGCGATCGACGCGGCCTTCAACAAGACCTTCGACAAGGCCTTCACCAAGAATCCCAACAATCGTCTATCATGCTTTTTTGAATGCTAAGTATGGATGGGTTAATTGGTACCTTGTGGGTAATCTCCAAGTTTAGGAGGCTGCAGTAATACGATACGGAATAAGGTTTTATGGGATGGACAAGCCTCGGATCCCATGGAGGTGGCCCAGCGTACTCTCAGCTGGCTGCAGGAGTTTAGGCAGGCTCATCTACAGCCCAGTCATGTAAAGCTGCCCAAGCAACTGCGATGGGTGGCCCCTAGCGATGGATGGTTTCAATTAAATGTCGATGGGGTGGGGCTGCGAAGGTGAAGGAGGATGTCGGTGGAGCTGGAAGAGTGATCCGAGGTATAAATGGGGCGTTCATTGTTGCTGGAATCTGGCGGCTTCGGTGTTGTTTCTTGGTGAAACAGGTTGAGCTGCTGGCAATCCTAGGCGCTGCGTTTTGGTTTCTTGAGAGTGCAGGTGGAGATGGATTCCCTCGAAGCTGTGGAGGCGTGCAAGGGTGTTCTCGTAGAGCTCTCTAATATTGGCTTCATAGTCTCTGATATTCAAGAGCTTCTGGTGGAGTTCTTGGAGTGCACAATATTGTATATTCCCCGTGAATCTAATAGTGTGGCTCATTGCCTCGCTAAATCAAGTTTAGTAGGAGGTGTCTCAGTAAGTTGGTTTTGAAGAACCTCTTGATATTGATGTCATTAGGGAGCTTCTTGATCATGAAATGTATTCTCATTAAGTTCTATTTCAATAAAATTATAGGTTAAAGTACAAAAAACTACCTCGATTATTGGTGTCATGACATTTTCATACCTCATCTTTTAAAATTGACAATGTCATACCTCATCTTACGAATTTGTGCCAATGTCAGATCTCCGTCAGTTTTTTTGTTAATTTCTCTGTTAAATGCTGACGTAGCCCGACACGTGTCCTACTCAATAATCCAATTGGATTAAAAAATAATAAAATGTATTTTTAATAATTAAATATTCAAAAATTAAAAAAAAAATTATATATATATATACATATATATTAAATCTCTCTCATTCTCTCCTCTCTCCCCCCCCCCTTTCTCGCCTCTTACCTCTGCAACCCAAAACCCTTTCCCACCCGTCCTCCACCACCCCTTTCTCCATCATCACCATTGCCGTCACCTCAACCACCACGAATTGCCGCCACGCTGTCATCAAGTCATCCGCAAGCTCCGAAATCGACATGGTGCAAAACAAGAAGGGCATATACATGCTGAAGCAGAAGAAAGTTGTGATCTTGTGGGACTTGGACAATAAACCCCTTCGCAGGCCCCTGTACCAGGCGACGATGGCGTTGAAACAGCTAGCCCAACGCTTCAGCGAGGTTTTGAGTTTTGGGTTTGGGGAAGACGGGAGGGGGAATAAAGGGTGAGGGGTACCAGGATTGACTTTTTAGTGTAAAAATATAGTTTTTAGGGCATATACATGCTGAAGCAGAAGAAAGTTGTGATCTTGTGGGACTTGGACAATAAACCCCTTCGCAGGCCCCTGTACCAGGCGACGATGGCGTTGAAACAGCTAGCCCAACGCTTCAGCGAGGTTTTGAGTTTTGGGTTTGGGGAAGACGGGAGGGGGAATAAAGGGTGAGGGGTACCAGGATTGACTTTTTAGTGTAAAAATATAGTTTTTCATTAAAGTGAACAGTACCGTAGGTTTTTGGTTAAAAACTCCCAAGATTTAAAGAATTTTAAAGAATTTTAAAGATGATAGATTTGATAGGATTTTGAGAGGATTAAAAACTCCTACAAAATTCATATGGATTTTAAAGAATTTGAATGGATAGTGGTGGAAGAATTTGAAATCCTAGAGGATGAGGTTGGATTCTTTTTAGTCTTGGTTATATCTACTTTTTTCTCTCAAATCCTACAAAAGCCACAACTTATTGAAATCCTTCAAAATCTTAATTTTTTTAATACAATTAGATTTGGATAGATTCTAAAATCCTTTAAAATCTTTTAATTGATTACACTAAGATTTTAAAGTCTTTTAAAATCTTCTCAAATCTGAGTTTAACTACACCCCTCTAAGTTTAGTGGTATTAGTAGGGACTCGCCTCATCTAAATCCCTCGCTAATAGATCTTAACGAGACCCGCGATTCAAAGAGAACTGCTAAGCCACCTTCTAATCCCGTCATGTTCCTTCTTCTTCGCACCTTCACACATCAAACGCATCCTAATATATCCATCCGTGCCTAGTACCACCCAAAAAGCACAGAAATATTAATATGTTCAAGAAAAAATTGAGTCCGTAAGTTTTATGTGGCTCCCTAAATTGGCTGTCTTTTCAATCAAAACTGCAGATTATGTGGACCATCTCCTCTTACACGTGGCCTATTTGAGACCAATAACTTTTATGTTTTAGCTCAAGCAATTTGTATGAACAAGAAAATGCTTACGGATATCGTTTGAAAACTTCCAAATACATATGCAATGTTGTAAAATATTTGTTATTATCTTAAATTCTAGAATATTAATATATTTGTTATTATCTTAAATTTTCAAAAAGGTTACAATAATAGTTCGTTATTACGCGAAGTTTTTCCAAAGAAGCGATTGCTTCACATTTTATTTTATTATAGATATAGTTTTATATGAAGAGTATTTTGTGTGTAATTGCAAAGTACACATTTTATTTTTTTATGGTATCAAAGTAAATTGCCTTATGTGTAAAATCTAACAACCACACATGCTTCACATCACTTAATTTGTGTTAGCACGTATTTAGCTTGAAAATTCGTTACAAAAAATAAAAAGATGTGAAAGTAAAAAGTCACACATGCTCACTCGTTCCATTGTATACTGGGATAACCTTGACTTATATAAACACAGAAACGAAGACCACACAACACACATTTTCTTTTCCAAGATAGGGTAGAAGGAACAACTATGATGATGGTGAGTGAAACCTCCTCTTTTTTGCAACCTTTGGCCTTCACTCTGCTGGCCATTTTCCTCATCCTCCTATACAGATGGTACTCCTCCGCTACAACCACCAACAAAACCCCTTCACCACCTTCTCCACCGAAGCTCCCAATCATTGGGAACTTGCACCAAGTAGGGTTGCACCCTCATCGCTCGTTTCAAGCCTTATCTCAACGCCATGGCCCTCTCATGCTTCTCCACTTTGGAAGTGTCCCAGTCCTAGTTGTATCTTCAGCTGAGGCTGCCCGTGAGATCATGAAAACCCATGACCTCACATTTTCTAACCGTCCCAAGTCCACCATTTTTGGGAAGCTTCTATACAACTACAACGACGTTGCATCTGCTCCTTATGGTGAGTACTGGAGGTCGGTAAAAAGTATATGCGTCTTAAATCTTTTGAGCAACAAAAGAGTTCGGTCTTTTCGCTCCGTGAGAGAAGAGGAAACCATGTCCATGATCAGTAAGATAAAGCATTCGTCATCATCCCTTCTGAATTTAAGCGAAATTTTTGTGAGGCTTACTAATGATGTGGTATGTAGAGTGGCTCTGGGGAGGACGTACAATGGTGGAGAAGATGGGAGGATGTTTACGGAGCTTTTGAGGGAGTTCGCAGAATTATTGGGAATTATCGACATCGGAGACTATATCCCGTGGCTTTCTTGGTTGCGCCATGTCAATGGTTTGGTGGCCAAGGCAGACAAGGTGGCTAAGCAGCTTGATGACTTTATAGGTGGAGTTATTCAAGAGCATATGAACTGTAGTTCAAAGAGTGAAGATGATGACAGGAATGATTTTGTCAACGTTTTGCTTGCAGTTCAGAGAGAAAACTTGGCTGGTTTTCCAATTGATACAGTTACTATAAAAGCTCTCATCTTGGTAACCCTCTCTCTCTCTCTCTCTCTCTCTCTCTCTCTCTCTCTCTACTTTAGAAGTTAGAGGCTAATGTCTTAATCAACACATTTCATTCTTGTAGGATATGTTTGCTGCTGGTACGGATACATCATCTACATTACTAGAGTGGGCAATGACTGAGCTTTTAAGGAATCCAAGGGTCATGAACAAATTGCAGAAAGAAGTAAGGGGAATAGTCGGAAGAAAAACAGACGAACTCACGGAGGATGATTTGGTCGAAATGCACTACCTGAAGGCGGTGATAAAGGAAACTCTTCGATTACATCCACCACTTCCAGTACTAGTGCCCAGGTTGTCGACCCAAGACGTGGAAATAAATGGTTACAACATCAAAGCCAAGACACAAGTTATGATCAATGCATGGCACATTGGAAGGGATCCCAAGGTCTATGAAAAACCAGAAGATTTCGAGCCAGAACGGTTCTTGAATAGCGAGATAGATTATAAAGGGACTGACTTTCAGTTGATTCCGTTCGGAGCTGGTAGGAGGATCTGCCCGGGAATTCATTTTGCGATTGCTATTAATGAGATCGCCTTAGCAAGTACTGTGCACAAGTACGATTGGGAATTGCCAAGCGGAGCAAGTGTGGAGGATTTAGACATGACTGAATCTACTGGTTTAACCGTACGTATAAAAAATCCTCTCAAAGCTGTTGCTATTCCATATTCACGTTGAATGATGGATATAAGAATATGATATTCATAGTCCTTCGTATATGCTTTATTTATCAAAATAAAATTAGCGATCCTCAAGTTACCTACTAGATATTTGATTTAGTTTATAGCTGTGGATTGTATCAGTCACTTTATCAATGTACAACATATACCATTTTAAGGAAAATTAACGAAAAGTCCAAAAAACACTTTAGTTTTAATGAAAAATGACAAATAAAGGTGTAGTGAATAGTACTAGAGAAATGTAAAATGTGATTTTTCATTAAAAATAAACAGTACTGAGAATATTTCGTTAAAACTTCCTAAGAGGCAATGGACTTGTAACTAAACCAACACCAATTCCCCTACATCCTCCGCACCCTCCACCACCGCTGCTCATCAGCCCCTTTACTCTCTGCTCCCCGATTTTGTGAAGAAAACAGCACAATAGTTTACCTTCTTAAACCTTTACCACTGAACATGAAGTTGAGCAATGACTCCATTCCTTCTCAACGGAGGATATAGGAGAGGAGGAGATGGATGGAAGCAGGTGCTGTGTGATGAGAGTGGGGATTCCACCATAAAACTAATTGACAATATGGGAAGTAGCCCAAGACCATATAAGCACGCAATTCTTGTCCCTCATCAACATGGGACAACTCTCAACAATATGAGTGGGTTCAAAGAAGGCAAAGATTGGAGGAGGAGAGAAGGTGGGTTCGACAGAGGTAGAAGTTGGAGGAGGATAGGGTTGGCCAGATTTGTAACAGAAGAGGTAATAGAGGAAGAAGATGGTGAATAAACACACAAGTGCAGCAGACACGCAATTTCTTTTTCTTTTTCTATTTTATTTTATTTTTATTACTCAGGACTATGATACCAATGAACAAAATATTATTTTTCTTTTTCTATTTTATTTTATTTTTATTACTCAGGACTATGATGCCAATGAACAAAATATCCTGGTTTTCGCAACCTTTGGCCTTCGCACATATAGCTGCCGATTTTCCTAATCGGAGCATTTGTGGTGTGGGAACTGTTTCTTATGCGGAACTGAGTTGGTCAATGACTAATAAAATACAACTTCCTCCCTAACACTACATGAACTAGCCCTCTTTCGAGCGAGGATCCTCAGCCGGATCATTTTTGTGAGGATTCCGAAGATTCTCAAATCACATCTTTTCATCGTGCGATAAAAAATCATTGTAAATTTTTTATTTAAAATTAAATATAAACCATACCTAATGAAAATTGACCGTATAATATACGATAAACGAATGTGATTAGAAAATTCCCGATACCACACAAAGAGGATCCGGCGAGAATCTGACGAGAATTCTCTCTCTCATCTTTCCCCGAAATACCACTAATTTAATTTCATTCGATGAAGTACAATATGAATGGTAAGTTAAGGGTGCTTTGGGTTAAAAATGACTAAAGCCAGCATATTTCTAAAGTAAAACCATTTTCAGTTGGTGAGTTTGTAGGAGGAGTCTCTTTTTGCTCACTTCTAATGCAAGATAACCCTTATCTCCCTCTAAAATTGTGTCACAAGTATGATTATCTATCTCCCTCAGATTTACTAACTATGATTATCTATCATTTAATTTAGTCTTATGAAAAAGAAAAATAATTAAAATATTGGGGAATACAAATAGGAAAATTCAACAATTGTTTAATTGATAGGATATCCAAAAAGGAATAAATGGTAATTTTGTTGTGAATCATTTAGATGTTATTCTTTTCTTTAAAGATTTAATTAAATGTATAAGTAAACTTAGTACTTAAGCAAATTCGTTACAAGATTTTAGAGAGGATATAACGGTTATCTGAAATTAGAAAGGTGAGCAAAATGCACTCTTGTTAAAAAAAAACCAAAACAAATTTCAATCTATAAAAAATTTATCGTGCACTTCAAACTTTCTAAATTAAAAAATATATATATATTTATAACAAGTGTATAATACGAAATTGAGAATGTTGGATTGGCAATAACATACTTAGGATTTTTTAATTTTATTCTCTTTTCGGGGACACGAAAACATACGAAGGTTTCTATCTACGACCGTAAAGCCCTACGCCAAACCCCCAATGCCCCGTTCCCCTTGTTTCATCTGGAGCAGCAGTAGCTTCTCATTTCCCAAACAAAACCTGCATCAGTCTCACTGACCAACTCGTTCCCTTCATCACCCTCACTGCGGATCACCAACTCGTCCCCTTCATCACACCTCCAATGGCAATGGCGACTCGTGCATTTTCGCGGTCAAAGTTTGCATTTTTCTCTTCAATACTCCTTCAAAACCT